TGAACTGTGCACTAAAATATATTTTTAGCTTTTTGAGCATGATACTTTATGACTCTAAGGTTGTTTGGGTAGTCTGTGGGAACCTATACTTTTACTACAAGGTTTTTGACTGGAAAATGATTCTGATTCACTTGTCATTTAATAACCGCTTATAATACTTAAGGCTGTTATAACTTCATTATCTGCAAATAAAATGGTGTATTTTGTCCTAATGTATTTTTTAATTTATTAGCTGTTTAAATATTTTAAGAAACTTAATTTTAAATGCATTTCAGTCACACAGGCATTTAAGCAGATCTATAAAGTGATGCTCCTTCTGGATAGGTTCGTAAGATGCAAAGGAAAAGAGAACATTTTTTATTCCCCAAGGAGCAAGACTAAGTAAGAAGTTAGAGTCATTGTCTTTTAAGTTACATCTAACTGCATGATGGCAACAAAAAGTAAATGCAAGCTCACAGCTACTATTAATTGTTGGAATATCTCAGATGCATGTATTCAATTTCATTCATGGAAATAAAGTTTAGGTAACATTTATTATAAGCTTTGAGTTAAGAATAGAAAATATATTTTTATTTGAAATTTAATGATGCAAGTTGTTATGGCAATCTAAAAGTTTACAGTCATTCATTTAATATATACTTGATATTATCATTTTAGACATATAATAAAGCCCGTCATTTATGAAGTTTTAACAAATACCAGGAAAAGTTTCTTCGTAAGAATTTCCTTAGGTGTGTTGCTAGGTATAAAGCTTGTAACTGCCAAAATACTTACATTAAAAGCATAAAACCAAGTCATTAAATAAAAAATAAAAGCACATTTGTAAAAAAGTGCCATGGATGATGGTGCACAAAAATCATGCACCTATACATACTTTCCAAAAGGACATAAAGTGTACTTTTAGGCACTGTCGTCTCTTCAAATTTTCTGTACTAACATTATCAACTTTTGACATCCAGATGCAACTGCAGGAAGATGACTAAGGCAACCACGTGCAGATATTTGTGCATGATGCACAGAAAATATAAAACTGCATTCCAAAAGAAAAGGTTTACAGTGAGAGTTTTGATTTCCACAAGGCTAGGGAGTGTCTTCATGTGATTAAAAATAAAATCTAAGAATGCCATTGAGTCATATGAATGGTACTTGGTAAACAGAATCTTCATCTATAAATTTTTAATCAGACATATTTCTGTTGTTTATGGAGTGGCTGTGTGGCTTCTGTACTAAACAGCTGATTGTGAGAGCCAACTACTTCTCCTAAACCTTAGTACAAAGTGGACATGTTCTAAATATGGAATGTTTAACATGTACATGTTGGACTTCAGAAATGGCAATCTTCATAAATTCCCCATGTTTTATCATATTGCATAGCAGAAAATTCATGTATTAAAAAAATTCTGTTCATTCAAGCAGTATTTTGCTCCAATCTCCTTCAGTTTCCTTCTTTCATACTGTATAGTGGATCCACAAGTTTATTGTGCACATGCATTAAACCTTAAAGAAAAAAAAAACAGTTCTAGTTGTATTTTTAATTTTGAACTATGTGTCATTTACTTTAGAAAACAAGATTTTATAAATGTTTCCATATGATACAAAAGTTAACCACTGAAAAATGGAAATAGAAATGTTTCACAATGTTAAACTGCCTAGCAGATATCAAACTTACAATTATCTATGAACCTATAGATGTAGAACGGTGTATAGGTTCCCTGGATATCAACAGATGTAGGGGCAGTTCTTGTCTTCAGAGCTTCAATATGACAATAATAAATTTGAATACTGACTTGTTTAAAACATTTTAATTATATCTAGAAGTCTGTTGAGTTTGGAACCTCTGTCAGTTTCTCTACAAAACTCCCAAGAGGCTCAGAACTGCTATTACACTAAGATAGCTTTTCAATATATTACTGTATCCTTTCTCCTGGCAAATTATTTTTCGTTATTTTGACGTGTATTTATAGTAGGGATGATTACAAGCACACTTGGGGAGGTTAACAAAAACAATGCAGAAAATAACATTAAATATTAATTTCCAAGTAGCTTTAAGTTTTATCTTAGAATCGGTTGCTTATAAATTGTTCTTACTTATTAAAACTTTTTGGGAAATACCTTCCAGTTACTCATAGTATTATATCTAGGGAACAAAGATAGTTCCAGTTAATGAACTGAATTTATATTTTGAAGGTTAAAAGAAATCAGGCAAATTTTACAGTTTGATAAGAACATGGTGGCTGGGAAAGAGACTCAGTAAGTATGGTTACTGGACTGGGGAGACAGGGTACTTGTTACCTAAGCAAATGTTCATTGTTAGAAAGTCTGCAAAAGTCTCTGAATTCCAGACTGTGAGGAAGACCCGCTTTTTGAGAGATAAGTAAAGAAAGGAACATAACAAGTACTACCTTGTTCATATAGTAGAAAAACCAAAGTGAACACTTTTTAATAAGAGGGAAAAGAGAAACATTGACTAGTACAAATGAAAGTGATAATTTAACTTCAATAGCCTATCTCTGTAATTGGCACCTCAAACTTAAGGTTTAGACCCATTTTTTCCCTTCCCAACCATTTTCATTGAAAATCTTAGTTTACAGTGTTACTAACTTCAATAAGCTGCTAAAGCCAGACATATTAAATTCCTTGTTTTTCCTGTTTTAATTAAGCAGCAAGAGCAGGTGGCTCTAGCTTCAAAGTACTCCCAAACTAGACAGTTCATCAAATACACAGCTACCACACTAGTCAAAGCCACTATCACTCTACCTACCTCCAACACCATACTTTCATTCATTTCTCCTGTCCCATAATACAGTCTTTGTACAGCAGGCATGCTCAATCTTTTCAAAAACAAACTGGATTATACCATTTCCCTACTTAAATTCTCCAATTGTTTTGGGCACTTAGAAAATAACATAATTTTATCCTATCGTCTTTGTCCTTCTGACCTCATGTCCTCTAACTTCCCCCCATCTGAGTCAGCCCTCCGTTTGCTGCTGTTACTTGAGTAAGGCTAAGCATGGTTCCAGTGCAGGCTTTCTGCTTGCTGTTCCATTCAGCCTGGAGTGCTCTTCTCATTGTGCAAAGCATGCCTGCTTTTTGTTTGTTAGGTCTCAGTCAAATGTCACATTAAAATGAACTACTATTTCTTTAGAGCAGTTTTCACTCTTAGAAAATATGTTTTTCTACCATGTTTCTAACTAGAAATAAGGTCCAGGAACTTATCTCCATTGCTCTTACAGTCAGTCTTTATCCTGAATCTATAAAGGTCACGGCACACAGTGGAAGCTCAATAAACATTTATTGTAAAAAGTATATGAAGGTTCACTGAGATGGTGGTATCCAAAAGCCTTTTTTTGAAATTTGAAATGAACCTAGAACATATGGATAAAAAGGAGGCAGTAGAAAAGAAAAGGATGGAGACAGTCTGTCATCCAAGGTCCTTAAGTTAGGACAGAAGAGGATCAAGGACATTGACAGAATGGTTAGACCTGGAAGGAAAAGGAGGCTTGAGGATTAGGCTAAGCTTGGAATCTTGGAGGTAGGATTGTGGAGGGACAGCAGTTAAGCCTTCCATGCAGCTGGAGGGAAAGAAGGGTCAAAGGTTAATATGAATAATGGAAAAGTTTGAAAACAAAAATTGCAGCAGTAACTAACCCAAGAAATGACAGGATTTTTGCATAAAAAGTACCAAACTAAGTATAAAGGAACTTGATTGATTCTACCTCCACCACAGGTACATAGTAGCTACTTAGCTATATATTTATAAAATAGAGTAATCTCAGCTCAAAAATTCAAAACAAAGTAATACACTCAACATACTCCTTAAGTTTTATAACGATGTTTCTATGTCTTAGATAATGTAATGTCTAATAGACAGTTTCTATAGTGATGGTTCTTACAAAGTTATACAACACTCCCTCCATGTTTACCAGTGTTTTAAAGACAAAATACCTGTGAAAAAAATCCGTGAGTATGTGGATGAACTAACAAATCACTAACTGTTTTATGCAAAGTTATCCACAAGGTTGGATTTGAAATAAGCTGACTCATTGACATTTGTTCTTTGCCCAAAAAACACTAATATGTAAGAATATTTTCCTCAGGACTAATAAATCCCCCTGCCCCATATCATTTTGGTGCCATAAAAGCTGTTGCAAATTAATTTCACACCCTTATAAGGAAGAAACTCGCCAAATCCAGGAGTTCTGAGGGAAGCCAGGGCAGAATTAATCCACAGGGATTCTGTCATTGAACATTCTTTGTATTAGGCTAGTTTTAAACTACACTAGCCCTTCTGCTCTTTGCCTACATTCTAATGTTGGGGTTTTCAAAGTTAAAAAAAAAATCCAAGGTACCATCATTACTAAAAAAAGTTAAATTCCCCATATGTAAACGTAATGGCATTAAATTTAGGATGCAGGAAAAAGGGAAGCAAGCAATACTGAATCTTTTCTGACTCCTAGACTGATACCATTAGAAGTTTTCTTACTTGGTAGAAATCAAGTATAGCAACAATTCTTAACTAGGGGAGTCCAGCACATGAGAGAGCTAGAGAAGGTTCAAGGAGCCTTCAAATCTCCCAAATTAACATGCAAACATGTATGCACACAACTACAAGTATGTGTGCTTTTTCTGAGGACAGTCTGTTCACCAGATTCTCAAAATGATACAAGACCCAAAAAAACTTAAGAGCCACTGACTTATGAGACCTGGTTTTGCCTTTTTTGCTCTTAATCTTTACATTTCCCTTTTGTTTGTAAAGTATGATCTAACTCCATTCTATCAGTCTACTTTGTTCTCTATTCTATTAACAGAAACTCTTCCTGGTACTGTGTTAACTCATCCTCACATTTGTGCTGTTACATCAATCACTGCAAATCTAAATGCAACCCATCTCCTGGGGCTTTCAATCTCATCAGCTGTTTTCTTCAACTACTATTTAACTATAAATGTCTCCCTTACCCTTTGGACTTCATAGTCTGACTTCCATTAACTTAGTGCTTAAATTGAAATGGTATCAATCTCATGTTTTTCATATACCTACCTGCTCAACCATCCACAATTTATCAAGTGCCTCCAATGTATGAGGCACACTTCTAGATGCTGAAGTAATACAGTGAACAAAACTGAAGTCCCTACCATCACAGATATTTTATTTTTAATGTAATATACTTTATGAAGAATGTCACCACTTTTAGGCAGGGGAACTTCTCATACTTTTGACTAACAGCATGTGAAACCATGTATTGAAGTCACTTTTAAGTCTTTTTTCTTGGTTGATGACAAAACTAGAAAATGTAATTTACATTTACCAAAAAGATACATTAAAGGGTAATTTTTTTTAGAGCACAAAAGAAATAACTGCTAATGAAAAAGATTTACCAGATATCTCCAAAGAGAACCAGTCCTATTGAAAATAGGATTTAACTGGAAAGTTTAATCCATTTTTCAACCACGAGTATGTAAAGAGAAGTAAAATGGAGACTGGAGAGACCCAGGAGGAGAGGACAACAAAGACTGGTAGTTTCAGCCATGTGGTTTAGAAGATGCATGTTTCCTAGAGGACCAGCTTTCAGACAATCATTCTAGTTGATACAATTCATCTGTCATTTGCTTACAACTTTGTTCATGGATAAATACATTAGAGTTTTAAAACACACAATTTAGAAACATTCAAAATTCAACTCCTTCTATAATTTTTTAACAATATGTTAACTATAACTATAAGGTAAAGCTACTTCCAAACTAGAAATTTTGAAAATTTTGCTTTTTGGATAACAATTCAAGAATTTACTATGACTTAATGTAAAAACTAACAACTTTCTGCACAAAAATTGGATATAAAAATAATTGGTACTTAAAAGCAGAAATAAGTGAGTTATTCTAGTAAGTGCTGAATATTAAATATGAAAGTTAAAATGTACAGACTTACCGACATGTTGCCAGAAGAAAAGTTAAATGTCATAAATGCCATTGGTTCTAAATATCAACTTTACAGTTTTGGCTCAATGTGAACTAATTAAACCTCTGTCGAGCTCTTGGGGTAGGGTGTAAAAAGGATCAAACAAAAAATGCTCACCATGGTGATGATGTCTTGAAAGTAATACCTCAATGACATAAAACAAGCTTTATTTTAAAAAGCAAAAACAAAAGAATAAAACATATTAAAGTATGTTCCTGTGATTTACTTCTACCTTTCAAGAGGCATATACTCAAATAAACTTCCTGTTACTAGTAATTTTTAAATTGTTTTAAATGTAGTTAACCTAGATTTTCATCAGGAGCTAAATAATTCGAACATATTGATATTCCAGTTGGTACTTTTTAGTGAAGGCAGAAGAAAGGGTAATGATGTGAACAGAATTTGAAGAATTACAGATGATGACTATAGGATTCATATCCTCCAGTACATCTTGAAGTATTACAACAACTCAGTGAGGACATGGAAAATAGTAAAACTATATTTATGATATGTATAAATTCATTTATTATTCAATTATTCTACCCTAAATCAAAATACCTTACTGTAAAATGCAGTCTGTATATAACTCAGAACAATACTTCAATTCCATTTTTTTTTCATATTGAAGGAGGCATCCAGACTGAAGCTGACATCCTGAACCTCTTCAGAAATGTACACAGATCCAAAATGGAAAATACACTGTCCTCAATAAGGCAATGCAGCAATTCTCTCATCAATAGTCTATACTTCACAGTGTTTCAGAAGAGCTCAGAATCTCCTTTGTTATAAATTATCTTTAACATATATCTAAGCCTTTTTGGAAGCAATTATTATGATATAAAAGAATATGATTTAGATCATATCGTAGCAAGGAGTTTACTCCTCTTCCGCGAGGCAGTATAACAGAGTGCAGAAACGCCCAGACTCCACAGATAAGCATGGTTTCACTTACGAGCTCTGCCTGCGTATGAGCTGTGACTGGTTAAGTGACTTAACATTTCTATTAAGGCTGTTAACTCATCTGTAGATGGGATTATAAGAATGCACACTTCACAGAACTGTCAGAATTAAGTAAACCCATAAGTATAGTATGTTTAGAAGAGCACCTGGTCCTACAGATTTGGCTAATACTAGTAATTTAACTGATAAACGTACACAAGACTGGAAATACTCTTAAGTATTAACAATAATGATACGTTTAAGTAACTGATACATCCATTTGACTATTACAAAGATATTTTAAATGATTTAGAAGAATAGTTATACATAAAAATACAACATTTGTATAAGTGCAAATACAAATGTATACACATGGTCAAAATTTTGTTTTCATTAGACTTTTTCACTGTCAAACTTCAATCAGTGTGTCACCTTCAAGAATTCTGCCATATTCACACATACGAACTATGAGTTATTGGTCTCTTTTAAACTAACTTATAATTCCCAAATTTATATATTTTATGAATATGAGATGCTAAAGACTGTAAGACACACCATTATGAACCACTAAGAAAAAATGCTACCAGAGAAGCTACGGTATGACACCAGTTTTAAACACACCCCAATTTTAGACAAGATAAATGTGAAAAAAGATGTCTTAGAGGCAATAAAATATAACTTCTTTAACCTTGATAATATTCATGAATTACAGGTTTGACTGGTAACCAGTATATTTTTTTAGTACATGTGAAATAAACACCTAGTTACTAGAGGAAAAAGACTGCAAATATATATTCATGTATTAACAGTACTATACATACTACACACTTTGTGAATTACCTTGTGTATGACCAATTACATGTTTTCTTATCAGCATCAATACAGGTTTCTTACAAAAAGCACCTATTTCATATAGCTTATTTACATGTGTGTGTATGTGGAGTTGACTCTTAAGCAGGGAAAGGGTTCTAAAGTGAAATGTTAAATGTTAAACATACTAAAAATGTTACTTGAAAATCTCTTAAATTACCCATTATATCAAGCATATGTAGTTTTACATATACAACCTAGTACAGTGAGGATTAGGAATTACTGAACTAGTCTTCAGGAAGAAGCAAAAGGAAATACATATACAGAAATCTGGATAATCAAACTCTTGCTTACCTGCTGAGTTTATTCATTATTTTGAAATTTAGCCATTATAACTTTAATATGTGGTAACTGAAATTGTGAAAATTAAATGTGATAATGAGTGACCCATCTTACCTGTTGATTAGGCTCTAAACATGACTTGGGGAAGTGGGAGGACAGGTAAACAATGAAAAGAAAATGAAAAAAGACATTTCTTTTTTTGGTTATTTAATCTTATATATATATAATATGAAAGTAAAATATTAAATTTTGGATTTCAAGAAAAATCTTGTTTACTGAAAATATAAACTGAAGAGATTATTTTCATGGAAAAAGTAGGAAACTACAAAGAAAGCTATTATCTGAGGTGAGACGTTTCAATTCCTTGAAAGAACTGGCTTCTGTGTCTACACAACGCCAGTTTTCAAAAGGCCACAGTGCAGGATGTAACTCCACAGTCATATTAAGTTTTAATTGTCACAGAGTACTTTTGAAATTTCAATGCTCACCTTTAAAGTATTTCACAGTTTTAACTCTTAATTCTAAAGTAGCATCTTCATCACACACAAAAATCGTTCGGGGATGCTGCTGGAAAGCCGAAACAGTCCACATATGATTCACTCCTTCTTCTATTGCCTTGTAGAGAGCAAATGCCTTGTGTGCACCTGTTATGAGGATCATTACCTGAAATATGAACATTATTTTAAATTAAGTCTTAAAACATGTTCCAAATGACTAAGAAGCTCTATTTAGAATCTGTTTTTGCAAAACAGAACTTTTGTTTTTCTTCATTCTCTCAGGTCTCTTGTGCACATCAGTATTTAATGTGTTTATGATTATAGGCATAATGGTATATTAAGTAATACTCCATAACAAGATGCTATTTTACTTTGTTAAACCAGAACAAGAGATGTACTTTGTGCTTGCCTGTTACTACCTTAAAGGATAGAAATAAATACCTTGTACTGTGAAAGCATATGGAGATGTTAATTTTTTATCTTACCCTCAGAAGAATACTGGTGCTGAAGTCTTTTTTTCTGCTAAGAAAATTTGTTGGAACAACTGACCAAAAGATAAGAAATCAGTATTTGAATAATTCCCTGTTTTCATTCTAAGAGTTAGCATAAGAGTTATAATATAACTTAAATCTTGTTAAATATAAGAATCTATATGCACAACTTTTAGTTTCATATTTTATAAATAAGATTGCCAAAAAGTCCTTTTTTTCAACTTATTTACTATAAAATTCCAATCCTTGAAAAGTTTTTCTTTATATACTGATTATTTTTAGATGAAAACCTCCATTTTGAATGACAGTTCTATTTTTATGTTCAAGCACAGATAGATATATTTACATCAAGATCAGTTACTTATTCATCATACCTTGTCTGTACTCTTTCCTTGGAACCTGTCCCATCCTGTTGCCAAAAAGGAATGGAGTTTCAGATTTCTATATAGTTTAACCACTTAGAATCATAAGTGGACTATAATTTGTTCTGTTACTCTCAGGGAAGGAAATGATAGCCCAATGAAAAGTTTAAAAATTAGGTAGAGAGCGCTGTTCAGATCTCTTGCCTTCTTAAATATACCAAATTTAGAACAGATCCAGACCTAGTTTTTTGTCTGCTGGTAATCAACTGGGCTGTCTTCTTACAGTTAAGAAGTAGTTTATACCAAAGTATTCTCAGGCTCCGAAAATAGTTAAATGTTAACTAGCATTGCATTTTTATCTCAAGAGTCCTTTCACAAAACTATTTAACATAAAAGAGACCCATGATCAGTAAGATTTTAGGTCCTCAAACTGTAAAGCAGGAATAGACAAGTGAAGCAATAGCCCAGAAAGGGTGATGACCAATTCTTAGTACATAGCTCCAAAAGACTAAATTTAGTTGAATTCTAAACACGGCAGAGAGACTGACAGATGTTAGTGAAATCGAGATAATTTATATTGCAAATAGGATATAAGCAAAATATCACTTATTCAATGCCATAATTCCTCCAAATCTACAGACATCCAAGGGAAAACATCACATAATATTTAATTCTTACTTCTCTTGCATCCATCACTGTCCCCACACCAACTGTTAAAGCCATAGTTGGCACTTTTGATAAATCTCCATCAAAATATTTAGCATTTGCCAAAATGGTGTCCATTGCTAGAGTCTTTAATCTTGTCCTTGATACTAAACTGGATCCTGGCTCGTTGAAAGCGATATGACCATCTGGACCAATGCCTTTCAAAAGAAATACACATAGACACACATATACACAAAAAGTAAAGTTTCTCAAAATAAGGTTTCTCACATAAAGTAGGGCTTCTCAAAGCTCAATGCATTTTTAAGAGCAAAAAAAAGAGTCATAAACATACCTAGTTTTACTGGATAGCTGAATTTCTAATGCTGCATTAAAATATCTGTTCCTGTATTTAATTCAACCAAGTACTTCAGTGTTTTCCCTATGCTTAGCACTGAGCTAGCACAATTTTAATAGTAGTAAAATTAATTATCACCTTATACTAGTATAACACTATATGGTTTATAAGCAAGAATTGCATGAAACAATACTTAGGCTTTCTAGGAGCTATACAAAGCTACTTTCAATTATTCCACTTCATTAACAAAACATACAAAAGGGAAATGATGCACGTGACCTACTACATTGATTTCATGACCTAATAATGAATAATAACCAGTTTGAAAACACTGCTTTAAGGAAACCTACTACCAGTTCTAATAGTCTAGATTGCCTCTAAATTATTGACAACAATATGACATTCCTTATTTGAAGGAAATTGGAGGCAAATCTTATTAAAAATCAAGAATCTTTCCATGGTATAAATAAATCAAGTTTTATATACATGTACCATATTATCTAGTCAGATTTCTGCCACCTGAATCAAAAAATAAACTGACAAGTTTTCTTGAGTCAAAATATTTTTGCATTTATATTCTGCATATTTACTATAATGATAGATATGTGCATTTTATAACCTCTTAACATACAATTCCAAGGAATTTTCCCTAGACTACAACAAAGTAAAATATGACAAAAAATAACCTGGTTTTGAAGGAAGAAAGAAGTAATGAAAATCTTTGGAAGCAGATATAAACCAGCAAACAACAACCTAGGAATTTTAATAAAACCAGACCTATATATGGTCAGTATATATATATGGTTTCTACTAGTAAATTTGTATCTGCTTGTAAATATAAGTTTTAAATTATAAACAGATTGAATTTCAAAATTTAAATTTAAACGATAAAATGTAAAATATAAATTTAATCTCTAGATTTGAGAACTTCTGTTTCTCCTAGGTATACATTTGCACAAATGTTTATATGCATATTTCTCTATGTGAGTATAAAGAAGAAAGGAATGAGACAAATAAAAGTTCCAGAAAAAATTGAAAGTCCTCAAAGATCAACACTAGAGATCTCACTGGGGATTTGAGTCATACAAAGGCATACAGCAGAGCAAAAATTACCAGCAATGGTTCATTATGGAGAAGGTCAATACAGTCTCTTAATGACCATGAGTAACTATCAAAAGTTGAGCTTCCTGATAGAAAATTATATTGAAAAAGTGTTTAGAATGTTTTAAAAACCTTTATAAAATTTTATTAAAAACAATGAAATCTAAAAACCACAGCTAACCATTTATATAGTCTTTATGTCTATACTAAGATATTGGCACCTTTATGAAACATTTCTAAAACCTCCGAGTCTTGATTACATGTGTTTCCTGTATTCTTACAATTCTGTGGGGTAGTATGTAAATTACATGAAGTGAAGACTTTATCTTCTTCATTACTGTATCCTTACCACTTAGAACAACACATCACCCACAGAAGGCCCTCAATAAATAATGGATGAATAGATGAATGGACAGTGGCTCTTCCTTGGTACGCTCAGTTGGGTAGTATGTAAATTACATGAAGTGAAGACTTTATCTTCTTCATTACTGTATCCTTACCACTTAGAACAACACATCACCCACAGAAGGCCCTCAATAAATAATGGATGAATAGATGAATGGACAGTGGCTCTTCCTTGGTACGCTCAGTATGGTTTCTCCCTCCTTCATCTACCCTACCTTGCTCCTCTCACAACAGGTCCAGAACAATCAGTACTCTTAATTCTGTTAGGCAGAAATGACTGTGGTCTAGGGACAATTACCTGTCCCGAGCTGAGACTTGTGAAGGCAAGCAGAAAAAAAAGAACGCATTTAGATCTGAGGCATTTGCTAACAGCTCTGCAAGAGAGGGTAGATGTTCTGCACTGGAGATCTGAGGCTCCCTGGTTTGTGTTCTTCCAAAGACGTGGTTGCTTCAACTCTCTATCAATTCTGTGTGTTACCCAAGAATCATTCTCATTAATTCACTTTGGTCCTATTAGTAGATTACTGTTGCTTGCAAACCAAATAATCTAATCATGGCACCAAAGAAGAGAGTTAAAATTCTCACCACCATCTTATTTTTACTTTTAAAAATAAAGTATTGGAAAATAATTTAAAATCAGTAATGCCTTTAGAATCTCATCTAAAATTCCATGTTTGTGTATTTTATTGCTGGGAGTGTGTCAGGGAGTCAACACATTTGTCAGCAGAGGAAGATGGAGAACTCTGTGGAGGGTGTACATTCCCTTCTTCCTTGTTTCCCCTAAGGGAAGGGAACTCCCCTTCCATTTCCCAGGAGTGAACAATGGTGGATTAATGGCCTTGAGCCCTTCTTGTCCAATTGTTTCCAATTCAGAGAGAAGGAGTAGGAAACCCCATTTCTGGCCTCAAATCCAACCTGAAATCTCTAATCCAACTTTACCTTTAATAAAGCTGACACTTTGATCCCATTTGGCTCAGTTCTTAGTGTTTTTATTAACTAACAAACCCTGGAACAATAGAAGGGTAAGTGGTAATAAGGTCCAGACACCAAGGCTCATCTTGAAAGTCAAATTACAACAAACCTAGATCAACAAAGGCAAAGAATCAAGAGATTCTAAGTATACTTCTAATGACACGGTATCCCAAATAGGAAAAATTCTAAGAAAATGCAATAAGCAAGCCCTTCTCTTCCTGTTTACAAGTAATTATGTCCTTTGGATGGTAAATACAAAATGTTATACTCAGGATCATCACATGACTACAGTGAAGATGTTAATGGAAGAGGAAAGGAAATCCTCTTAACTATTATTGCAGGGGGAGAAAAACTACAGGAAGCTTAAGACAAAAACTGGTTAAAAAACAAAATTCTTTTTAGTAGTAAGTTAGTAATAAAAAGTAATTATAAATTTATGCTCCATGTGTTTCAGAGGGAGAACTAAGGGGGCTTCTAGTATGGAAATACACCAAACAAAGACCCTTAGCTAAAAAGAAGTGAGAAATGACTTAAAGCTATGGGGAAAGAAAAAAGTTCTGCTGAAATCTTTGATAAGGAAGATTCAGCCTTAAACATCACATTAAGCTATAAATGCTTTCTGAAAAGCAGGCAAAGGACAAAATGGAGTAGAAGAGTTCTTATTGGTCTTCCCATCCCAGGTAAATTCTATTTCCTGGCAATGAGTCCACAAGGGATTTCTCACATGGACCCAAATGTAAGCCCAGTAAGTTAACAAGAAAAAAGTTCTTAATGAAGAAGAAAAGATACTTTTCATGGAGCCATTTTTATGATGATCCTTTTAATAATTACCAGGCTTTTTTGTTTAATGGTTATTGAGTGAAAATATTTCTTGATATACTCAGATAGACAGCTTCGGTATATTACAGCAATTCTACTTCATTTTGTCATAGACTTAAGAAAATCTAAAGAATGTGTGTGTGGTAGTATGCACTGCCTTGGCCCTTGATGGTGGCATGTATACATGGTAATTCTCTCAGACTTGAGACAAAACTGGAACGCAAATATTTTCCAGGAGTACTGAAGGAATATTAGTGTATTTTACTTAAAACATAGATAACTTTTTATTTTGAAAACAAAATAGTCTAGCTTAGATTCTTACACAGATAAAAACCATCCCATCTACAGAAGGATGTAAAAAATATTGGTTCTGGTAGGCAGAGGGGAAAATTTCCTCAGAGAGAAAAAGTCAATCTTGCTGGATACCCTTAGAGGTAATTCAATGAAAAGGTAATTCAGTCCAAAAGCAGGAAATTCAATGAACTAAGGAACAAATATTTGAGCATTACAGTTTGGAGAGAAAGAGAAGATGAAGTAACATTTACCAAGTACATACCAACCACTGTGTATGGCATTTTATGCATGTTGTAACATGGTTAACCCTCACAAATTCTGGAATGGTTAACATTAATCCTGTTTTCCAAATGACTTAATTGCACTAAGCTTCAATAAACTCTCCAAGGTCCTAGAGATAGATAGACAGTAGCCAAAATAGGGTGCAAACTTATGTCTGATTATAAAACCCAATTTCCTCAAGGGCAACCACCTCAACTATAAATTAATCTCAATACAACTGCATTGAAGATCTAATTCATGTAATTTTGAGCAGTCTTCTAATAAATTATTATATTCAGAGAACTTAATGTTAACTTAGAGTTTTAGTAAGTTTAGTTGAATATTAAAGTCTGGCAAAAAAAATTTTTGGTTTCAGTATAGTTGATGTTACACTCTTCTTAGTACTGAATTAGCTGTCCCAGTGGCTTCATACTGATGGCAGAAAACCATGTTGTCATTACAAATGAAAAAACTCTTCCTCTTGTTTTCAATGGTAGATTATATGCACACACAAATACACGTAAATGTGTATATATACATATGTATATATATAAATTTCAAATAGAATGTCAAACATTTACTCACTTTGGAGTTTATGAAGACAATTACACAGCTTAATTCAAATTAAATAAAAGCTGATGATAAAGTCTCACATCATAAATGATTTCTTAGTGAGAAGAAACAATTAAAGTATTAGTAGAGAAATGCTAAAATTCACCTGTCCCACATGCAAACTTTCAGAGATTTAACACTATAATTTGTTAAGAATGGTGGACTGGGATTCTAAAGAAATAGCAAAAAGATAAGAGTATCATTTAGGAAAAGAAACACATCGGTCATTTTGTAACATGTGGTACACTGTCAATTCTGAGAAGGAACTAAGATTTTAGCAGGTTTTTATGACCTATTTCTCAAGACATAACAACTCCAATTTTCAATATAAGATTATTTTTTGATGAAAGTAAAGTAAAACAGAAATCAGCAGAGAATAAATGGGTATTATAGACAGTTACGGGTGTTCTTTACACAGCACAATCATTAAGATTTTTAAAAATTTAAAGCACCTAATTCAAATACTAATAAATGATTGACAAAATGTTTTACATACCTCCAACAAAAAGATCAATTCCTCCAGCTTCTTTTATTTTCTTTTCAAATGCATCACATTCTGCTTGTAAATCTGCAGCATTCCCATCAAGGATATGAGCATTTTTAGGATCTATATCAATATGCTTAAAAAAGTTATTCCACATATAAGAATGGTAGCTTTCAGGATGATTTCTGGGAAGACCTAGGTATAAAATTAATACATAAAAATGTTAACTATTTCCAGAAATAAGGCTGAAGTTTACTTTTCTGATTAAGTTGTAAATTCTATATAAAATATATAATCTTTCTATACCATATTCAATTTAAGAGCAATTTTTGGTGACTTATAAGCTTACTATATGTGAGGCATTATGTTAACCACTTTAAATGTACATATTAATTTATACAACATATATGAAAACACTATTAGCATTCCAATTTTATAGATGATGGCTGTTATATGGCAGAGCCCAAGACAAATGAAGATCTTCTGATTTTTAGTCCCATATTCCTTCCATTATATCATGCTGTCTTCATAAAAATATAAATTTAAAAAAATATATAATCTCCCAATCACATCACAAGGCAGTATATTATCTTCTAAATATGTATTTTTATTATATTCAAAACATAAATTCAATATATTAATATTCTCAAAATATAGCCATTTTATTTTAAATATATAACATATCCAAATAATATATGCAAATGATATAGCTTACCTACATATTCATCCATATTAAAGGTCTTCACATATTTAAAAGAAAGGTCTCCATTCTTGTGGTACTCTATTAGTTTTCTGTAACATCCTAAAGGTGTACTCCCTGAAACAGATGAAGATTCCATTTTCTAACATAACTTGAAAATCTTTTAAAATAAAAAGCTTATACACCAACTTTATTCTCTTAATGCTATTCTATATTTCTAATTATTGGGCAAACAATTATTATTATTTTAAATATCCAATTAATAAATGTATATTTGAATTAGTGTCTTTGCAAGGTACTTTGTAATTTTAGAAAATTAGCTGAATAAACTTGGAAATCTGTTAATAAAAATTACAGTTTGGAAAATTAGTCTTTAGTTGTTGGATTATTTGGAATTAATGTTGTATATTCCAAGACTAGAAACTTCTAGAATGTACATTTGAATCGAAAAATAAAATCCTACCTTTTGAGAAAAATCATCATTATTTAGAGATGTTTTGTACATTAAATGACACAGAAACAGGTCAAGTGTTTTCCATTCAATGAAATCAAAAGGGAAACCAGGGCTAAATTTAAATACTGCCTCCACTTTCAAAATATACTGAAACTGGCAAGGATTGAGTGAGAAAATTTAGCCTTAGTTTTAACTAGAGCTCCTGTTTCTGATTTTGTGTTATATTCAGCATGTATCAGCTGAATTCTATAAAGTAAAATGACTTCCAGGCAATGTGATCTGGGCTTTGAGACCTGATTTAAGTTCTGATTTTATTGTTTTATAATTGTGATTCTTTTATATTTTATACAAATAAATCTGTTTAATAGTGCTTCATGAAATGGCACAACAAAGACAGATGAATTTAACCACTTGATGATGGCCTCCTTTTAACTAGAAATTGGAAGGCTAGATTGACTGCATTCTTACAATAACTGACCTAGCCCTCCCAATCCTGGTTGGAGGACTGATTCTTACTCTATCTACCATGACAAAACAAAACAAAATGCCTGCTCAATACACAAAATTTCTCCTTAAGTGGCAGAGAGACATATGACAAAACTAAACAGTCTCTGGCAGAAAAATTACAACGGAAATTCTAGAGTGGAAAATAGACTGCATCTTATTTGAGATTACAGAATAATAGAAATGGCTATAAATAATACCACATGGAGTCAGAGGTCAGAAGACTAATAGATTCTCTTAAAGTTAAGCATGCACACTATTTTAAATTGCAATTAATAATTTAAAATTTATGTGGTCAAATTTTGCAATTCCTCTCAAAGAATGATAGCCCACTAACATAAAATTTGGCTAAGAGATGGATAAATATGCTTTCTTCCTTTCTAGAAGCATGAACAAATCTCCAATGTCTGTCTTTCAGTGTCAAGAGAATTGTTATAGGACTCCCTCAATTTAAGGAAATAAGAAAAAAGTGAGAAGTCACATGGTGATGACAAAAAACACATTTATTTTCTACTTTAATCAAAGTAGCTGAAGGGAAAAACAATGAAAGACATAGTTCAGAGTGAAATGATTAAAGAAACTTCATTTTAATATTCGTTGTGCAAACACATTCATTTTCTACTTTAATCAAAGTGGCTGAAGGAAAAAACAATGAAAGACATAGTTCAGAGTGAAATGATTAAAGAAACTTCACTTTAATATTCGTTGTGCAACATTAATTTATTAACATAACTAATATTTAGCAAGTACTATGTCTGACTCAGATAAAATAAAGATTAAGGGTGTTTCTATCCTAGAAGAACTTAGAAGAAAGGAATAAACAAGTACAAAACAGCCATAACACAAAGAAAAACTTGGTGCCATTCACACCAAGTCCAAAAAAATAACCTATAAGCTGTCTGGAGAAGTATACTGAATCAAAGAAAAGGCTATATACTCTTGCTTCTTGGAGGAAGGATCAAAGAAGATGGCATTTCGACTGAGTTTTGAAGGGTGGAGTCTCAATAGTTAAGATGTGGTAAGTTGTAGTTGAGAACAGAAAAAGATAGGGAAGAAGGTAGCCAGTGGGGCTCACATATCAGAACTGTGGGTGCGGAGGGGACTTGGTGCTGGTGTACACAATTTTTAAAAAATCCATCTTTGCCATTCACACCAAGATCCACTGCCCTGGAGCATTAAAAAAGGTAAAATAACAGACAAAGAAAATCAATTTGGTGAGCTAATTAAAGAGTACCTTTCATGGAAGTTCCAAAAAAATAACAATCATAAACTTTACATAGTTGACATATGTGGGGGGAGAACCAAGAGAAGAAAATACTGTTTATATAGAACACACTTATAGGAACCTTAAATTTATAGTATTTATTGTACATATGGGACTTGGACAAACACTATCTTATTTGAGCCTCAAAACAACATTTTAAGCTGTTTTTATCCTTATCTTTCTTAAAAATAAGAAAACCAAGGATTAGAGGTGTAGAATAAATAAATTCCTTCCAGTAACGAAGAGAGTAGCAGTTCTGACTCAGGTCCAGTACTCTTTCCTGTGCAAGTCCACAGTATAAAATAAAGTGCCATGAAATCAGTGAAACTACTTGGTTATTTTTTCTTTTTTAAGAAAAAGTTTCACAGAGAACTAAATCCAGTAAAACACGTAATCAATGCTTATGTTTATTCTGTCACGAAGACATACCAGTCTTCAACTTTTCACTTACAATACCTCTGTAATAGAAAAAAAACACAGAAACAGTAAAAGGCTAGTAAGATAAGAGCATACGAGGTAGGTGAGGTGAAATTAAGAGGCAACAGTAAATACTTTAGGTATCTCTTAGTGATGATTAAGAAAGCTAAACTATTAATAAATTTTATGAATAGTGGAAGCAACATCTCTAAAAACAAAATACTTTAAAAATACTCTAAAAACAATTAAAAATAGATACAAAAAATAGCATTATCATCATTTAAGTTAGGACATTTCTTTTTGTATTTTGGAGTGGAAGGTAAGATAAAAGTTCAACACAAGAAGATAGTAATGAAATGTAGATACCAGATATATATACATTTCTGGCTTTATATACTTATATGGTCAATCAGTGATAAGGCAAGAAATAAATGTGAAACACTGTACTAAGGGAGACCCTTCAACCCTAAACCCTTGAATGTCAAAAAAGGGGGAAAAAAATAGTGTATTACCTGTTGGTAAACCCAATGTAAAGTATCTGTCCTCTCCGGGTTTGAACTGAATGATGCGATTACAGATGTATTTGGCTGCCCATTCACTAGCCAAGTCATAGTTATCAAGAATTACGAGCCTCATTATGTGATGTACAGCTTCCTGAACAAGAAGTCAAACCTGCGAAAGTTCCATTGTAAAGCACTTTAAGTAATTTACAGACACCTAAACAGAAGTGTGGTACACTGATGACTTTAAAAAGGACATTACTTAAGACATGCATGTATACAAACATAATTTATACTTTTAAAACAGTAGTAATAGCTGTTTTCTTTTGAACTGACCTCGAGTTCTTGGCAGCGGATTAAGTCATTTAAGTACATATATCAGTCCTTATAACAATCTTCTCAAGTACATGTAACTCATACATTTTGACTGAGGGCATACAGTTACTAAGTGACAAAGCCAGAATTCATTATCAAGGCAAACTTATTATAAAGACACACCATACCATCTCTACAGGGATATTATATAAAGCAACACAAAACAAACCTAAAGGCACACACAGAAGTACTCACTTCCTGATTGTAAAATAATGGTAGTAAATGGTACCTCAGCAACTTTGAGCTGCTAAATCCAGAACTCTCCCTATAAATAATGTAATAACCAAACCTCCTTTTTGTTAAATAATATATTTATAAAAATGATACCAGCACTTTTTAAAAACTCCATTTAATATAGAAAAGTACAAAGAAGTAAAAAAAAAAAACCAGACCTAAATCCTACCATTCAGAAGTTATTCTCACTCTTACTAGGCATACAACATTCTAGATACATGTCTAGTGCACACATATAAATAGGATGCACAGAAATAATTTTTAACAATGGGCTCCCACTAGACATGCTATTTTTAATAAAGGCATAGCATTTAAGTATTCCTGTATTTAACAAAAGTAAAAGAAAACAAAGTGAACAAGGAAACTGCTGATTTCTGGGGGAAAAAAATTCTTCACAATAAGCAGTTTTAGTTCCTAAAACAGTACTCTAAGTTAAGAGAAAATATACAGCTATTAAGAGATCAGTCATTTAAAACTATATGATTCCATTTTAGACAATGTGGACGAATCTAGTACCATAAAAGATGTTAAATTGCATTCTTATATTTCCTCACACCGTCCATTACTCTTAAGATGTTATTTTTATACTGTCAAGATTTACAACATTTATATTGTTCTATAACCATAATTCCCAGATTTTAATTCTTAATTTTCATATTTAATAATTTCAATTACCCATACCAACCCTTGTACAGATGGCTTTAGCAGTCCTGAGTTCCTTACCCACAGACTTTACATACAGTAAAAAGTCAAATTCTTGATATTAATGGTAGTGGTAGGTCTTATTACAATCAATATGTAGAACCTTATGAAGTCCTTAAAGAACAGTGATTTAAAATTCTTGCATAATAACAAATTATGATCACCTTGATCTAGAATTCTGGCACAGTAACAAGAGACAAATAGTCTTTACAGATAATAATTTACAAAGTAAGTCATAAATTCAGTCCACGAAATAGACTTGGCCTCCATTTATATTCATTAATAATCTAATCTTAGGAGCAATTTCAAAGTTATACCAAAGAATCAGAAACATTTCCTGTTAGGACCTTTAAGAGATACACTTCTAATAAGAGTATTTAGCAAACTGATTGTGATAGGCAGAAAAAAAGAAAAAAATGTAAGGCAAGGAGGAGGAAGGGAATTAGAATTTTCCAAGTGTCTTCTGTGTTCTGGGCTGCTACCCCTTTTCTCATTCAACACACTTGTGAGGGCCTATTAAGTGCTGAGCATTAGCAGCCTATGTAGACACAAGAGTGATTAAGATAAGGTTCTATTATTAAAGGGCTTAGTATCACTTAACAGTCTCCCTGGTAGAAATTATCCCCCTCACTTTTCAGGTATGGAAAACTACAACTCAGAATTTTACTACTGAAGTTATACTGCTATAAAGTGCTGGAAGGTCTATGGGACTGAAAGACTGCTCCAAATGTGCCTTGTAATAATCACTTAGGATGCTTGTTGAAAATACAGATTCCCAGGACCCTCTACCTGGACATAATGTTTCAAAAGATCTGAAATTGGGTCCAGCGGATCTGCACTTTTACAAATATGACAGGCGATACTTACAATCAGGTTAAATTTTTGGGGGAAAAAAAACACCGTATGATGTGATTCCATCACAAACAGGTTCAAGTGAGTCTCTCAGACTAGGAACAGGCATTTTTTTTTTAATTCTTCAGAAAGCTCCAAGTTAACTTCCAAAAGTCTTAAATAAGTCACTTCACCGAAAGTAAAGTGAAATGTTTCGCCACATTTATTCAGATTGAAACATTTTTGCCAATTTTTTTTGAATTCTCAGAGATCCAAACTACTGTGGCTATGGGCAATTCTCTGGCATTATGGACAGACAGCACTCAAAAAATGATACAGCACTACCCTTCCCTCATTTCCCCTGGCGCTGATTCACTCTGGGTGTAACCTGGAGACGGGCTGCAAAACACAAACCTCAGAACTTTAGGGTCGGGTGGGGACTTCTACACGACTTAGGTGACACAGCTAATCTAGAATCGACCCTAGAATCTGGATTTACAGAATCCCTACAGCACACTAGACTTGACTTGAAAAGGTCTCTGGGTGCAAGACAAGGCGCCTTATCCCAGGAGAGGCGGGAAGCGGCCAAGGCTGTGGTCCCTGCCGGCACAAGAGGGCTGCAAACCCACCTCAATTGGGCGGCTGCTAGGCCCAATTACTCCGCAAACTACACCGAATGCAAATGAGAATGACTGTTAACAATTTCTTAACAAGCGTCAGGAGAGAGCCTTCAGAGAGGAGGCGACAGAGAGGCGCCCTCCCAGAGGCCCAGTTCAGAGAGGACGCCCAGCAAGTTTTCAGGGAGGAAAGCCGGACGCCACGCGCCCCCCGCCTCCAGGCTGCAGGGATCACAACCCCCACCCCGGACCTGCACCCGGGTCTGGGCACAAAGTGCACCCGGCAAAAGCTAACGGCGTCCCCACCCGATCCCTCTTCCGCACCCAAAGCCTGGACTCACCTGCTGACCCACTCGCTCTACAGACGCTGAAACTGCGGAATCAGCTCCCACCCAACAATCCCAGAACTACCCAACCAGCGTGCGGAGCGCGAAGCTCAAGGACCCGGATGCAAATAGAGGCGCAGAGATGACTGCAGCGCGACCTGCGGTGCTGCGCATGCGCGCGCCTGGCTCACTCGGGATGACCTACGCGCAGGTTCGTACGAGTTCCTTGAGGCGGGAAGCTTCTCCTATTTGGGAATCAGCAGATCCGGGGCTCCTACCTTGCGGCTACTCTTTCTTTCGACTCTCAGAGGTTGAATCGAGGTAGATGCGTTGGGTTTCTGAGATTTAACGTAGGACTGCAGTGCTCATACATAAGCATTACGTTAGTTGTTGCTTAGAGTGGCAATGCAAATTCATCTCTCTATCCCCACGTAATGAATGTTTACTCTTCAAGCACAATGACGGCCAAGCGCTTGTTGACAATATGCTCATTAAACACAGTTAAGTTTCTTACATGCTGCGAAAAGGTAAACTATGTCATGGGAAACCTTGGAGCGGCTCAGTAAGAGTAAACCCAGAAAGAGCTTTTAGTGGGATATAGGTTTATGCTGAATGATTCTAAGAAAGCATAGAGGAAGCAGAGTCAGGTTTGAACTGAGTATCGCAGATCTTTGTTCAGGAGAGAGAAGGAGAAAGGGCTGGGGTTGTCAGAAAGCAGCAGATATTCATAAGGGTTGCGTGGCCTCACAAATGCCTCAGAAACACTCTTTAGATAGGATCAACATGACCCGACTACCAGCAGAGGGTAATAGGTAGACTCAAGGTACTGTTTTCTTTGGACACTACAAAGTTAAGATAAATTTGAAATACATCTCTAAATTCATTATCTGAAGTTCTGCGCATGGGTTGTAAATTCACCCTCCTCTCCGTCAAATGACCTCCCTTGTTTACATTCTTTAGGCAAGAGTGGAATATTCCCTTCTTAGTTTTAAGACTGCACAGCAAAGTTTTTCTTGAGCTGATATTAGAGAAGGTTTCTTAGCACTAGAGCCGAGAATTAGTTTACAAAAGCAGTTTTCAACACCTTCCCAGTGCTTTAATTTATCACCTAACAAAAATGTATTGTACATCTACTGTGATCAAAAAGACCTGCAAATAATAAAAAGAGCATTGCAGGGAATATTATTAGAACATAGAGGGATATGTGTGCAATGTATTATTTCACACTTATACTCCTTCCTTCTTAACCTTTTTCTGACACTAGAAAAGTAAGTTTTGCCTCCTCTGTAAGTACTGACTATAGTTAATTCTATTTTGATTGCACTGTATGGTATTCTGTTTTTCCTTTTCTCTCAAATTGGTGTTTCTCTCCTCTTGCAACCTATATGTCTTGCTCTCTATGACAACATTAAAGCAAGAAGTTACTGCCATCAAAAGAAAAATATTTAATACTAAACGGAAAAAATGTTTTTAACAAGGGCAAGGAACATGTGAACTGAGTCATTCATTTGTCCATTCAATAAAAATTTACTGACACACTATTATGCGCCAGACAGCAACATGAGTAAAACAGACACACAGTTCTTGCTGTCAGTGAACTAATAGTCTGGTGAGGATACATCACCTGGTAAATACTAGTAAGGCAAAGTAGTCAGAGTCTTTGAGTTGTATTTGAGATACTCCTTTATACTTAAGGATGACCTCAGCATTGAAAGGACCTGCACCTTGTCCTCCAAATAAAGTCCCCAAAGAATGGCAAGATGAACAGAAAGTTCTCCTGAACCAAGGTTGTGGATGAAGAATTTAGTAGAAAAGTTTTAAGTCTGTCCCTCAGGGAAGGTGCCAGATTTACAGTGGCATTAAGAGCAGTTCAATAGAGGTGGCTATGTAAGTGACAAGAAAATAGACCTGGTGACAGCCCTGGTCTACTACAGGTTACAGAGAGAAGCATCCAACAGCAGTCATACTCCATGATCCTGAGTAGCTGACATAGAGTCTGAAATAGTTCAGTCAACATGTATAATGCAAATGGAGGCCAATGGATGGTTGTTTCAGCAATGGAGATAAATGCTGAAAACCAAAAGCACCCAGGAAGAGGAACATACCCATTCTAGTGGATGTCTGAGGAGAGAAAATGCCCCCAGAACAGATGCCTCCACCCATGTAGACATCAGTAGCACCTGCACGTTAGATGCCAGTGTGAGGCAAAGGTGGGAAAAAAGAATACTCTGAAATGACAGAATTCATACTTGAAATGACTAAGAAAATGATAAGACAAAATGAATCTGAAAATAACTAAGTTTCCTGCTCTCATTGGAATGGGGTTAAGTATATTACAGGAAAATAAGAAGTGACCCATTGGACTTCATGGACTATATGTCTCTATGTGCTATAAAATGTTTAAGCAAGATATACTATGTACAGATTTGTTTATGAAACAAAACTCACCCTTTGTGCCTGTAAAGAACAGATTGAAGGAGGGTCAGGAGTAGGTAAGGGTAAGCTGGATTTTGTCAGGAAGGGAATACAGAGGAGGACCCTTTAAGCTCAGAAATAACTTGCACAAAAATTATGCAGGCAGGAATGTAACAGGTACACACAGAATTCTGAATGACTTCCATGTGGCTCAGAGTAGGAAATGTTTCAAAAAGTAGCAGAAATTGAATCTGGAAAGGGAGATCAAGGTATAATAAGCACCTCATAATTAGATATTATACTGTAGGCAATGGAGAGCCACTTAAGCTTTGCAAATGTGAGAGACTAGCAGATTGTGATTTAGGAAGAAGGAGGTGGGAATGGGTGGGGATCATGTTACAGAAGCAAAAATCCAGACACAGGAACACTAGGTTCATGTATTTTCCCTGCCCGAGCCCTAGTATCAGGCAGTTATTAATGGCTGATAGTTTTCTTATTTTTTATTTTTTTTAATTTTGATAGCATTAATGTACAATTACATAAGCAACATTATGGTTACTAGATTACCCCCATTATCAAGTCCCCACCACATACCCCATTACAGTCACTGTACATCAGCCTAGGAAGATGCTATAGAATCACTACTTCTCTTTTCTGTGTTGTACAGCCTTCCCCCCATGCGCCCCCCCCTACATTGTGTGCTAATCTTAATGACCTTTTTCCCCCTTATCCCTCCCTTTCCACCCATCCTCCGCAGTCCCTTTCCCTTTGTAACTGTTAGTCCATTCTTGGGTTCTGTGAGTCTGCTGCTGTTTTGTTCCTTCAGTTTTTTCTTTGTTCTTATACTCCACAGATGAGTGAAATCATTTGATACTTGTCTCTTTCCGCCTGGCTTATTTCACTGAGCATAATACCCTCCAGCTCCATCCATATTGTTGCAAATGGTAGGATTTGTTTTCTTCTTATGGCTTAATAATATTCCATTGTGTATATGTACCACATCTTCTTTATCCCTTCATCTACTGATGGACACTTAGGTTGCTTTCATTTCTTGGCTATTGTAAACAGTGCTGTGATAAACATAGGGGTGCATATGTCTTTTTCAAACTGGGCTCCTGCATTCTTAGGGTAAATTCCTAAGAGTGGAATTCCTGGGTGAAATGGTATTTCTATTTTTAGTTTTTTGAGGAACCTCCATACTGCTTTCCACAATGGTTGAACTAATTTACATTCCCACCAGCAGTGTAGGGGTGTTCCCCTAGTTTTCTTATTTTTTTTTAAATAAGAAATGGTTGGTAAGTTTTACCATGCACTCCTTGCATCTGCTGGAATGATGGTACAGTTTTCAGTTTGTTGGTCAATTACAGTGATTGATTTTCAGACGTTGAATATACCTTGCATTGCTGAGAAAAACCTGATTTGAGCTTGGTTTTTCTTGGTCAGAGTCTGGTCTTTTAGCCAGAAATAACTGAACATTTTTTAAGAGATGCCCTTTCCCCCTGGGAGCGGCTTTACAACTAGGTGAGAATTCTGAATTGGACAAAATAAAGACAAGCCTTTCGGTGGCTTCTTCAAAGTGAAGGTGTGTATTGTATTTTTGCTGTATCTCTGCTATAGACATCTTTGCTGCAAGATTTTTTTGCCCCAATTTCACAGCATAACCAATTTTTCTGTAAAATGTAAAAAAATAACTGACCATTTGGTTTGAGTTTGGTTTCTTTACCTGTTTGACAATTTGGTTTCATCTCTTCATTCATAAAATACTTACATTGTTGCATTAAATAAATCTTTGCCCTCACAATGGGCACAGAATTTTGAACCCACATCTCCCATAGAACTTTTGAACATCTATCTACAGACATGTGGCAATATGCCAGGTTTTCACAATGCAGTACAAAACTCACTTACAAATATGCAGCCTAGTATTTGGAAAGGCATACCTCTCTTAATAAAGGAAGAAATTTTAGAGTACAAAGAAAGTACGATGCCAAATCAATAGGGAAAAAACTGTATAATGCTATTAATGGAAGACTTTGAAGACAGTGCTTAGGTACAATCCACAAAATAAAATCAGTTATTTGCACAGTATTCCCGTGAATCTACAGACATTTTAAATGTGTTCAAATATTTTGTATTTCTCAATGAAGTAGTTCTAATTTTGTTACATTTTTCATGTTTCATTAAGCCCTTGTTAATGGCAGTCCATCTTTTATTTTTCATGATTTTATTTTTTACAGTAAAATTGCCTTACAGCCAAAAAATGCTTATGGTGAAAATGCTTATAGCAAAACTACCTAAAACTGATTAATTGACCTCTTTATCCTGATGAAAGGACCTTCTTTATCCACAGTAATCTTCTTTGCTCTGAAATCTCTTTGACTGATAGTATATATCACTGTTCTAGCTTTCTTCTGATTAGGATTCAAATGGTACATACTTTCTATTTTACTTTTAACCTATTCATGTCTTTATGTTTAAGCTTTGTTTCTTTTTTAAAAAACATTTACTGAGGGATGATTTTTATAGAAAAACTGCACTTAATGTATACAGTTTGATGAGTTGGGCACATACATATACCTGAGGCATGGAAATCATCACAATCAAGGAAATAAACATTCCTATTACCTCCAAAAGTTTCCCTATGCTCCTCCAGCTTTTTTTTTTGTATAGTAAGAAGAGGTAAAATGAGATCTGTCCTCAGCAAAAGTT